TCCATCCATCCATCCATCCACCCACCCATCCATCCATCCACCCACCCACCCATCCATCCACCCATCCATCCATCCACCCACCCATCCATCCATCCACCCACCCATCCATCCACCCACCCATCCATCCATCCACCCACCCATCCATCCACCCACCCATCCATCCATGCTGAGGAGTAGGGGCACATGCCACAGTGTGTGTAGAGGGCAGAGGACGATTTTCAGGAGTCCTTTCCTGCCATGTGTGTCCCAAAGATCAGACTCGGGTTGTTGGGCTTGGTAGCAGGCACGATCACCTGCGGCGGGGCCGTCTACCTGTCCCACTCACCCTTTTATCTTTCTTGGAGAGAAGCTGAGTAACCCAGGCTGGCCTTGAGGTTGAACTCGTGCCTCAGACTCCAATGCTGGAATGGTAGGTGTGCGCCACCAAAGCAGCCCAGAGCTTCCGTAAAACAAAACAAAAAGGAAGGAAGAAAACGAAGGGCAGAGACTTCAATGGCTCAGTGCTCCGAGGTCAAGAGCGCTGGCTGCTCTTGCAGAGGGTCCAGGCTCGTTCCCAGCCCCCACGTGGTGGCTCACACCCGTCTGTGACCTTTGTACTGGCTGGTCCTCTACCTTGTGACCCTGAAGCCACTGAGGCATCCAGAGCCTACTGCCTGGGAGTGGGTGACACAGGCACTGTCCCCAGGCTGTCTTGCTTGCCTCTAGGCTGTGGCTGTGTGTCTGACATGTGGGTCGAATCTGGATGAGTGTGAAGTGTGCGCACATATGGACACCATTGTCTGGGGCAGCATGTGTGGAGCGTGTGCAAGCTATGGGCCTCTTTGCCAGCGGGGCTGAGCTCGCACACAGCACAGCTAGAAGGAAAATTCTCAAAGCTGCTCTTCGGTGGACAAGGGTGCATCCCCAGAGCAGGGGACTGCAGAGGCCGCTACGTGAACGCGTTCATTGTTTACACAGCAATGGCTGCCGTCAGTTCACCCAGTGTCTGACCACCTACCATGTGCCATTCTGTTTGATCACACTTTGTTTCGTTTGCTTGAACCATAGGTAGCCCAGGCTGGCCTTGAGTGGCTGTGTAGGTAGGTTGACCTGAACTCCTGAGTGCTGGGGTGGCAGGTGTGAACCCCGTGTTGGTAGTGTTTGCTTTTACCCGAAGGAGTTGTCCTTCCTCGCTGACTGGTTGGCCTGGAACTCACTGTGTTGACAAGGCTGGCTTCAAAATAACGGATGGCCTGTGCCCCGCCTGCTTGGTGCCGTGATTAAAGGCCTCTGCCTGGCTTACGCCTGGGGTTTCATAATGGGTCACCAGAAGACTAAAGAATAAATGAGCGAAAGGCTTGAGGTCCTGGCAGTCTATATCCTTCCAGCGCAGGCTGGTCTTGTTATCCAGTCTTTCTGAGACAGTTACGTGCTCCACAGAGCCCGAAACAGGACACGGAAGGGAGAGAAGCAGAAAGGAAGACAGAACAACAATAAAAAGGAAAGCCAGCCAGGAGTGATGCACAGCTGTCAGTCTGGTCCTCAGCAGGGTGAGACCCGAGGTTTCAGGTGCAGGCCGGCCTGGGAGACACGGGCCGGACAGAACGGCCTGGGAGACACGGGCCGGGCAGGCCGGCCTGGGAGACACGGGCAGGGCAGGCCGGCCTGGGAGACACGGGCAGGGCAGGCCGGCCTGGGAGACACGGGCAGGGCAGGCCAGGCTGGGAGACACAGGCCAGGCCGGAAGGCATCTCTGTGGCAGGGGTTTGGGGCAGTGGGAGCTGGGGAATGCGGCAGACACAGGAGAAGGGATGGGGATTGAGAGTGATGGGCCTGAGGGTGGAGGTTCTGAGTGTGCCGTGTACTGAGAGAGTTGGAGCATAGGATTGGAAGTCAGAGTGTTCAGGCGGGAAAAGGGATACGGCTCAGGGCAAGGTGCTGGAGAAAGGTTCTGTAAACTCAGGGCTTTGGTACCCTCTCTCATCAGGGTGTGCAGTCTGAACCAACATGCCCTACCTGTCCTCAGCAACGCCCACATCTGTGAATTGCCTTGCTCACACCTTGCGTGCCCCGCCCTTCACGCCTGGATACACACCTCTTAGGTTAGGGTCCGCCCCTCACACCAGAGCCCCTCCCCAACCCCGCCCCTCCTTGCACGCTCCAGACCCTCCCCCTCATTATTATTAGCCACGCCCCCTGCCACGCGACCAAGTCCCAATCCCTCTTATCGTCGACCCCGCCTTCTCCCGAGCCAGACACACCCCTGTTCATATTACAGCTCTGTTCTAATTACAAGACCCAATCTTACCCGGGCGGCGGTGGTGCACGCCTTTAATCCCAGCACTCGGGAGGCAGAGGCAGGCGGATCTCTGTGAGTTCGAGGCCAGCCTGGTCTACAGAGTGAGATCCAGGAAAGGTGCCAAGGCTACACAGAGAAACCCTGTCTCGAAAAACCAAAAATGAAGAAAGAAAGAAAGAAAGAAAGAAAGAAAAAGAAGAAAGGAAGGAAGAAAGAAGGAAAAGACCCCATCTTTCCTTTTGCCTTGCCGGGCACGACCTAAGCCCCACCCATCGATGACCACGGCCTCCTCAGACCAGACACTTCCCGTCATCATCTCGGGCTCCTTCTCTCCTCCAGGGCCGGCGCCAAACCTTCACTGTCCTGGTGCAGCACAGCTCTACCTCCCCAGGCATGCCCCCCAGGCCGCCCTCACCTTGGCTATGTTAGGAGGCATAGGCCATTCAACCTTTCCTTCCCCAGACCAAGCCCCGCCCCAGCCCAACTCAGGCCCCGCCCCCAAGACCCCGCCCCTTCCTCGCACAGGTCGTGTCCTCTACCGGCCTCTTCCCGCCGGGCCCCGCCCTCTCCAGGTCTAACCTTTAGGCCTTGCCATGGCTCCATCTGCACCTCTCCCAGGTCTTAAACTCCACCTCTCCCACAGGCTCCGCCTCCCAATCCCCGCCCGCCGCCTCAGACCCCGCCCCCGTTCTCTTCAGGCCCCGCCCCCGTTCTCTTCAGGCCCCGCCCCCGTTCTCTTCAG